TCGTAAGTGTCGTCTTCTTTCAATTGTCGAAGTTGAACAGATTTCAATTTAACTTTAGTTATTCACATGTGACTGCTACACGATTGAAATGTCTTTTTGAGAGCAACGAAGTCGGTAAAAAACATTTCTTGTCTTAACATATGAATCGGTAAATGACAACCAGCATATGTATATTGTTGATAGGAATATTCAATGTCACCATTATCGTTACTAATCAATATGGTCGTTCGTCAACTCTTGGCAGTTTATATCAAATGTCAGTCACTGGTCAGCTGTACACTTTTCGAACTTACGCACGTATGTCTATTGAGTATTGTGATAATTTAAGAGAGTTTAATTCAATCTAATTGTTTTGCCAGCTATTTCGAATGTATCACCAAACATTGGGAGTACGCAAGGTGGTACCATTTTGACTATTAGTGGTCAATATTTCAGTAGCAGTAGTCGATATCCACTTGTCGTTAAAGTGGGTGATGAACCTTGCACTATTCTAAATTCAAATTTGACTACTATTCGTTGCCAAACACCGATGGAACCTGCCATCAATCGAACATACTATAGCGGTAAGTTCGTTATCGAATAGAAGAAAGTTACTTCATTTTTGACTACAGGTGGCCGTGGCCTTCATATTTACAATGAATCTCGTTTCATTGATCTGGTCTTGTATATAGTGGATTTTATTCTTCGAAGTCTAATATTTGTTCTTCTTAATGTATAGATCAACCTTGGTAATACGACTCCGCCCATGCCAAGTGCCAATGCCACTAGCACATGGACAGATGAAGCTTCCTTTGTTTCACAGTTCGCATCGAATACTACAGTATGGCTTATTGGATTTCTACATTCGCCAATGACAGCCACATTCATCTTCCGATTAGAAGCATCTGATGATGCTATTCTATATTTAAGCATTGACGAACATCTAGATAACATTGTTCCAATCCTCAATACTAGTTCAAATTCAGAATCAGCAGAGCAAATACTTTATAATGATACCAAGTTAGTAAAAGATGAAAATGATACAAGACTACATACGTATATATTTTCATATAGCTACTTCATGCTGTGCATAAGCTCAACCAATGGAGGCGATTTCCAATTGTCAATAAAAGCAAGTATGCTGAAAACAATGTCTAATACAGGAGGTGGTATGCCGAACTCCAGCACAATTCAACAAATTCAGATCGGAAATGCTCCAGTCTTTGAGCATCAGGTAAACTAGTATTATTATTGCCAGTTTGGTGTAGTTTATTAAAAACATCAATACATCAAATATGACTCTCTGGTGAGCAAAAGACGGGTAAAAAGACTAGTCGCTATTCTAGTCATGATGGCATATCTCGTCTAACCTTTTTCTCAAAAAGTCCTAGTACATGACCGCATACACCCACACCCAACTCATTTAGAATTAGTTTTATTTTTTCAAAAAAACATTCCTCTAATCGTTGGTATTTAGAAGCAACTGTTTTATATTGAAAAGAAATTAAGTATACAAATAAATTAAAAATAACCAAAATTTCAAGAAACTAACATTTTTTTCGCATCATGGTTGAAACCTATTTTAATTTAAATTTTCGCTATATACTCTGTAAAATGAACGAAAATTATTTAATTTAAATCCCCTTTTATTTTAAATCACCAGAATTCATACTTGAAATAAAGTAAACTAATAATAACAACATACTAAAATGATTTTGAAATTAAATTATTTGTAATTTATATTAGAGTTCAGTCAATTTTATAATAATACAAATAGGCAACTCTCGTTAAGCAGCAAACAGCGCACTTTATATTTTTATATGCTTCTTCGTGTTTTAATATACTGATGCACTTTTAGTATAAAAAACTAGAAATATTTATTCGAAGAAGAGCTTGATATATTGGTTGATATGAAGCAAATAAAACTGCAAATTTGTACAGAGAATATGCTCAGATATATAAGAATATGACCCTTTTAATATGCTGCCAATCTTTGACATCATCCTTATTTTTGAAAGCCTTTTCTTATAATCATTTTAGTTAGAGAAAAAAGTCGCGGCGATAATAATCAAACTGTATATTGAAAGAAATTAAATAATTATTACTAATTTCCATACTTGTTATGTGTTATACCATATTTAACTCTAATTTATGAAGAGAAAAACGTGTTTTCAGATGATACTATATGATTTTGAATATTCGACTTAAATAGGCTGGAGTTTCAAGATTCTGGGCAATCTTCAAGCGACTATTTTAATCTGTCTGCTTAATACCAGTTGATTCTTAATTAAAAATAATAACAAAATGATTATTATTCTATTGCTAATCTATATTTTAAAGACGTCTGATTAGCTATCACTTGAAAACATAATAGTGATGTTCAAAAATTTCTTGCGTTATAATCTATTTCCTTTTCGTGGTATCGCAAACTAGTCTAAACGAGTTGTCTGAGCACTTAGTATAAACAAGATGGACTGTTTAAAGAACTACGACTAGTCTGAACTTGGGTTCATAGAACTTTCTCAAAAAGAGACTAGTCCTGAGCAATAGAGATGACGCTTCAAACCAGTCTCGACTACTATTGAAGACGTTTCAAATAGCTTAAATCACTTGTCTTCGACTAATTTCTAACCGCCTAGCAGATGGACGAGCGTCGATTCGTCATTTATAAGACCAACACTGGCACTAGTCTATTGTTTTGTCATGATATGCCATCCATATAATCGGCATATATCAAATACTGTCGGGTAGAATATTCGAATTCATTTTTCGTCTAGGTTTTTTATTACTTTTCTATACTAGTCACTAGTCTGGACGGGATTCAGGCTCTCCTCCCCTCTAGCCAAGTCAATTTTCATGAGAACTGTCAAAATTGAGATAAATGCATAAGAAGATAGTTCGTCGTCTGCTCTTTCAAAACTGATAAAAATTTTCCCTGAAAATTCCACTTTTCCTAGAAAAATTTCAGAACTTCAAAGAACCAGTTTTTGAAAAATCAGCGATTTCGTGAAATATCCAAAAACCTTTTTCGTTTTTTCTCAATTTTCGCTTTCTCGTACGCGTATCCCAAATTTCTCTGTAATGGTTCGCCCAATCCATTAATATATTCTTTTCTTTGAAAGAGCGTGTCAAAATGCAGGGCACTACGTCATCCTTTTTTTTGTTGATATGTCTGTTTTCTGTAGTCAATATGAAGTCAGTAATATAATTTGACTACCATTTTTTGATAAAGTTTTAGTCATTGAACTTGTGATCTCTTTTTTCAGATCAAAAAGGGAGTATTTCAAAAAAGGGCGACAGAGTGCTCTGCATCTTGAGATGTTCTTCAAACAAAAAAATATTAATGTGTAGGGCGAACCGTTACAGAAAAATTTGAGATGCCAAATTAGCTATTTTTCGACCTTGTGTGGCGAATATTTCCCTTAAACAAAATACTTTTGGGCTGAAAATTTTATCATAGAGTTCCCTTAATGTCGCCAAGATATCCTCAAACTTTCAGCTCGTTCTAACGTTCCTGGGCCAAGATCGATTTTTTGAGGGGTTGAGGGAAAGGGCCTTAACCCAAAAAAACGGACTAAACATGACTAGATTTATGGATGTCCTGGACTAGTTCAGAAATAGTTGAAGGACCCACCTTGCACAGAGAATCAGTTCTGATGGATAGACAAGATGTTTTAGATTACAACTGACGAGTAGTGTGAACATTTTCAACGAGTCATGTTGGGCGTCCTCCCTTATTTTGTGCTCACTTTGGTGCTGTATAATGAATTAAGAGATTGGTATTAATCAAACATGACTAAGATTATTTGATAGGATCTACTTAAAAAATAATTGTATTTGATTCAGTTTCGATGTCTGTTCTCTACTGACTCTCATATGTCTAGACCTGATTTTAGTTCGACTCTGACTGATTACATGGATCTAAGTAAATGTTCACTAGCATCTGAACGTTAAACTTCGAAGTTTAGAACTCAAATATTCAGATTTTCTAAAACGTCTTGAAAATTCTAAAGCCCAAGATATAAATCTGAAGTTTCACATGTCTTCTGTGTCGAAGTAAAAATCTTGACTAGCATGACCACGATTTGAAGCCAAGTAAAGACAAAAAAGGAAAATTGACCTATCTGCCAAAAACTCAGAATGAGTGTCATTCATTTTTTTTTGTATTCTGTACATTAACTTCTCTAAATCATTATTATATATCACAAAATTATGTAAAATACTTTACGTCTACGCCATTTTACGTATAAAGTCATTACTGCATGAACTTACACTCCTTATTTTCTATCGAAATGTCTACTCTAAAATGTGATAGTTATCTATCGATCGTTTCTAGTCGTGTTCTGAAGAATTTTTCCATATGATTTAACACCTGAGGATCCTAGCTGTGGTTTCAATAATTTGTTTCTTGCTCCTGAATGTTTTAGATGTTCTCTCGCTTTGATTGTGATTCTGTAAGTATAGGACCTCTATTGAATATGTATATTACTGAAAATTATTTCCAAACAGTTTTGAAAGAAGTTTAAAGTTAGTCGAAGATGAAACAGTATTTTGATTTTAAGACAAAGAATATTCATTATCACATTATTGAAAATCGTTCGGGAAGAATTTGCTCAATATTAGGCAGCTATGAATTATCAATCTTTAAAAGAAACAAATAGAGGCTTTTAAATATTAACTAGATAGATTCTAGGCATTTAAAATATTCTGAAATGATCCTGATTTCTCATTAGTTCGATATCCATGTCCGACAATCGTGAGAATATATGTCAAAAAATTTCACTATTCATTAGCAAAACGAATAAGCTAACAGATGATCTGAGAATAATGAAAGATGATCATATTTATGTATTCTTTATTTTAATTTAAAGCGAATCGTCTATACAACTGATTCAGTAATTAATGGAATAGCTGAAGTTCAACAAATATCAGTTATTAATGTACCATTTCAAATCGGGTTTGAAGGAGTATACACAGGTTTGTGTGTTGCTTTTCATATTATAAAATTTATGCATTTCAATATGCATAATAATGAATATTTAGCGATTCTCGAAGGTGCAACAGATGCGATTGTCATCCAAGATGCGTTAAATGACCTAGCAACAATCTATCCTTTGATGGTTACTGTAGCTTTCGTAGGTATTGCATACGAAGTCACTTTTCCAATCGAAATGGGTGATGTTTCATTGCTGACGATTATTTCAACTGCTTTCATCAATCCACAATATGCAATAGAAAGCGTGCAAGGCGTAGCATCTGGCACAAAATTAGCATTTCGATTAGATGGGGCTACATCGAGCTATTTCGATTTTCGAACTAGTGTTGTAACAAATGTGATGCTAGCAAATGCGTTTAATCAATTGTTTACCATTCGATGTCCACCATCGCTCTACGATCAACAGGCAACATCATCTATTGTCTATTCCAATGAATTTGAAACACCAAATCCATACAATGATTCAATTATTACATCAAATATGGCTTTCTGTGGTCGTGGCGCACTCACCAGTGACTATCTAGTTATAGGGAATATGCAGCCTGCTGACTATATGTGTTTTGCATACAAAATTCCACCAAATGATGCCACTATTATTATGCTTTTCTATGTTCGAAGTGAGGGAGACTCATCGATCAATACTTATGAATATATAAGGATGCAACTAAATCAAGATGGACATTGGCATTATACATGTATTAATCTACTCAATACACTTCAGCAACATTCAGTGACATACTTGACCATTGATACGTTTCTCATTATGAGTGTTTACCTAAATTCTTATCCATTCGGTACTAGGTTTGATACAGTTACATTGCGTACCTCGCTACCTAATGGATATGAAGATCAAGATACTGTTACTACGACTGATCAATCATCATCAGGTCAATGCATATTTCCGTTTGTTTATAACGGTCAAACATACTTCACATGTACACTTGATGAAAACAACATGCCTATTTGTGGTTCGATTTCAAATACAACATTCTATTGTCAAAATTCATCTATTGAAGGCGTTCGACGTCTCTATCCAAAATATCAATTACTCTACAATTCACTTAGTGTAACGCATTCAATTGAAAACAAGACGATCGATATTTCATTCCGTTATACTTCATGTACATCACCAACATTGATCGAACCACTACCATCTACAGTAAGTTGTTTATTCGTTGTAGTACATCAGCAATCATTAAGTTATTATTCTTTTTTTGGTTTTAGATTGCCAACGTGACTTCGATCACAAATGCATCGAAAGCTATCGGCGGAGTCTATGATATTATGTTTAAACAACATCTATATACGTCGATTCCAGTGAAAATTACCGGACAGGATCTAACCAATCTTCTTCAATCGTTTCCTGATTTCGGCTACGTAATTGCCGATAGCACTGGCGAATGTGCACAATATTCATACACTATTCGATGGCTAACAAATACAAAGCAACCTCTAATAGCAATCGTCAATTCAAGTGAAGTGATACCGATCGAAACATCGATAACAGTTAGAATGCTACAAAGTGGTGGGGATAGCAGTTCATTTTATAATCTTCCAGCTGATATGTTACGAACACGGCATACGATTCCTCAGGTAGAGTGTCTGACTTTTTACGATTTCATTAATTGAATGAATGCATAGGTCGAAGTTCTTGTTGGCGGTTATTCATCGTACTGCTCAAATACTGATAGTAATTGTCCATTTCAATGGTCCACCCAACAAACACCATTGATATTTGCCGTAAATCAGAATGGATCTATTGTGACAATTGATGGTATTGGGTTTGGTTCCACAATTGAATCGAATATAGTTTCGATTGGTGAGAATGGCTCATGCAATGTAACAGAAGTTAATACAACATCGATTATCTGTACAATTGTTAATGCACCATCTGGTCAACAGAGTGTACAAGTTAATGTTATTAACAAAGGTTTTGCATGGAGTAATGAAAGTGCCACTGTTGTAGTCCAACTTTCGATCATTTCATTTCAGCCGACCCGAGGAGGAGCTGGTGGAGGTTATCGATTGACTGTTATCGGAACAGGTTTTTCATCAAATGCCTCGATAACTATTGATGGGAATCCATGTACGAATTCTTCCGTAGCCAATTTTTCTTCGATTACATGCATTGTACCACCTTTTACAAACATACATAATGATCAAGCACTTGTGACTGTTATTGATGGAACTCTTTTGGCTAATGCATCTTCGTACTTTTCATATAATACGTCTGTGACGCCCATCATATATTCTATAAGTCCAACTATTTTTACTTTGAATGGTGGAACATTAAACATCAGTGGTGTAGGTTTCGGTAATAGCTCAGTTTCCGTATTTGTCGGTTCTACAAATGTTTCTATTATGCCATTGTCTTCAAATCAAATCCTGGTAAGACTAAGTGCATTGCCACCTGGTCTCTATTCTATTAGGGTGAACACGTCGATCGGTTTTGCTCGACCTCTTGTCTATGTAGAATATCGATTTTATGTGCAACAAGTCTTTCCTCAAGTTGGCTCTTTGTACGGCGGTACCAATGTTTCAGTTCAAGGTGAAGGTTTTGATAACTCGACGATCATTCAATTTCGCGATCAAAACAACTTTCTCTTTCCATGCACTATCATGTCGATAGAATCGACTCAAATTAATTGTCGAACAACGTCTTTTGTTTCGCAAGTAACGATCACAAACGGTATCGATCCAATAAAAGGTTTTGGTTTTGCTTGGTTGCCTAGTCGTCAAACAGTACAACAGGGTACTGTTGTTACTTGGCAATGGAATTCACCAATAGTCACGACACCACTCACTTACAAGATCTTACAAGTAGCAAATCCATATGGTAATCAACTTGTAACAGGTGGATTTGATTCTGGCTCAGCAATAGCATCTGGTAAGAAATCTACACCAAATGCAAACTGCGTATTTATTTTAATTTTCTAGGTTCATTTTCATACCAATTTGCTGCAATCGGTACCTACTATTACTTGTCACCAAATATCGATCATCCTGATGGAACCTCTATACGGGGTATCATCGACGTGGTAGCATCAGCAGCTAGAATGCTAACTGTGAAAGCTACATGGGGCAGCTTTTCTGGTATGTTTTGATGAAAATTTCATTTTCATGTGACTAATTTTCATTGTACAGCTCAAACGTGTGCGTTTCCATTCACGTTTCGTTCTATTCGCTACTTTACATGCACATCAGTTAACGACACTCAACCCTGGTGCTCTCCAACATCAGCATATACTGGCCACCGACTCTATTGCTCATCAAGACGTAAGTTGCTTTGAAGTCAAAAGGTCCAGGTTACTCTTAGAAAGTGTGACTAATTTTCCTATAATTGTGAAACATTATTACTAATGAATGTTGAAAGAATTATCGAGAGAAGTAATATAATAATTTACGTTTATACCACAAACAAGAACAGATATATGTCAGTTTTTCATCTTTGGGTTTTTGAATATTTACATAGGAAAGTTTTTGAAACTTCTGACTTTGAGAAAATGAAAAGGTTATTGTGAACAGATTTTAAACTTATAGGATAAAGGTTTCGTTATAGAGATTATTGCAGAGCTCACTAAATCGAGTCAGAACTATTTTTGAGCGAATAATGGAAGAGAAGTTTTGTAATTCCATTATGTGTCTCGAAAGAATTTCCACTCATAGATGACATGTATTGCTGGCGTGGTAGAAATGATAGAGATGAATCAGAATGACTAGAATCATGATGGAGAGAAGGGGATTCATCGCTGAAAAATTAACAGGTTAGGTAGAGCAGGCACGTTTTACCTACTGAAAACCTAGTTTGAACAAAAATCCTAGCTTCGCTGCTGTACTAACAGCAGATTGTCATAAGAAAGTGTTTCCTTTCTTTCAAAAACTTAACCTGTCCGTGTACTATCAGAATAGTACGGAGTGCAAAAAAAATGACCCCTTGAGATTAAAATGTAACTGAATATTTATTTATAATTATAAATGAACTAAATTATATACCAACAGTTACAATAGTCAATGTACAAATATACAATATATACAACAATAATTTTATATAATCTGACAATTGAAAAATGTGAATCAAACAATAGTCACTCTTTTTTCACCCTATGAGGACCTATTTCTTTATCATATATTAGAAAATGTAATTTTAAGAGAAGATCCATCAGACTACTGACCAAGAATGCATACGACAAATTTTGACTTTTAAATAAGTTATACCATTCGAAAGCACTTGGAAAGTTATGTTGAGACCCACACTTTTAGTCCCTTCTAAAAGTCCTTTCAAGAGATATGAACTGATCTTTCAATCCACTCTCAAGTACTATTCGATGAATTATAAAGAATCCTCTGTAACACTTTATGAATACGTATATTAGCATCAAAGATTCCTCTGTTTAGTATTAATTAACGTATCTTGATTAGCTCTGTAAAATACACTGATAGAACAAAATTGTGAAGTATAAATCATGTCTCAAAAGTCTCTAATGTGTTATTTTTAACTAAACAGACTGACAAAAATGATCATTTTTTATGAAAACTTTTTCTATTTTTGCTCTGAAAGTATACCAAAGTCATTCTTTTCTCACAGTTTTTTTGCGTCAGGAGAATTTCTGTCGAAAACTGCATCTTTCTATATATAATTCAACAAAAAAAAAATATGAAGAGGTTTTCTAGTTTTTGAACTCAAAGAAGATCACTACCATGGGACATAGGTCCACATAAGCGGAGAAAATAATGACTATTGTTTGATTTAAATTTTTCAATTGTAAGATTGTATAAAATTGTTGTCGTACATATTGTATATTAGTACATTCATTATTGATACTGGTGCTATATAATTTAGTTCATTTATAATTATAAATAAATATTTAGTTACATTTTAATCTCGAGGGGTCGTCTTTTTTTTGCACTCCGTACTACTGTTACTATGATAGCGACTCGTTCTTAGTAATATGTCGTCTTTATCTATGTTGACCATTACTAAATCGTCTCATAAATGACTCAATGAATTGTACAATATATGTAGAGAACATTGTGTTGCTGATAGTCCAAAATTGGTAGTATGATTTGATTTCCAAGGGAGCATCGCTACTAGGAGAAAATGTTCTCACTGTGACCCTTGTCATATTGAATCGAAAAATCTAATGAACACGTTCAAAATCAGTAAAATATTTTTCAATAATTGAAACTTTACAAAGAAAAATGAAAGGACGAGTTTTCCTTTCTCAAGATGAACAATGTGATAACAGTATTTCATCAGATCTCATCAGAAAAATGATTGATTTTATCGAAACTAACATGCTTTCACAACAATTCATAATATTCTTGCAATAATCGGTATTTGATCTATCAATCATAAGACTTAGGAAATTTTAAGAAGATTAGAACACAAGATCACTTTTACGAATTGTAAAGTCAGCTGATCTTCTGATAATGCCAACGCTTCTTTATGTCAACAGCTCTATTCAACAAAAAGAAGTCACTTTCAATAAGTATGTGTCATGCTTATTTCTAGCACTTAATGCCTCGTGTTCTTCGAGCATTCTTAACATAAGCTCATGTGGTCAAACTGCATCTATGATAGAAAATCCGGTGAATTTTCTTGCTACCCTTTGCACGGTGGAATCAATCATTTCCGTATCACCTGTCGAAGGAACTGTTGGAACAGTTATAACAATCACAGGTACTTGATATTGATAGCTCACATTTTTCAACCGAAAATACTGATTTCAGGAATAAACTTCCGTGGACAGATGGATGAATATGACATACAAATCGGATCTTCATATCATTGTCCGATAATAAATATGTCGTCGACTTCACTCATATGCCAGATCACAGCAAACTCAACACTCGATGCTGCAATGAACCAAACTCTTAGTGTTTCTCGCAAGTGTCAAGGTTATCTAGGAAGTAATGGTCTGTTGCAATTCAATTTTAAAGCATCGATCTCAAGAATTTCTCCTCCAAATGGTAGATGAGAATATCAACAGAAATATGCTTATTCAATTTATTCTTCGTTTCTTTGCCTCTATTTTCAGGTTCAGTTTTTGGTGGTACTCGAGTAATAATCGATGGTGATGGGTTCAGTCCAGACAATACACGTGTGTTTATCGCAGGTACAGAGTATACAGACTTGGCAACAATATCCTATTCTCAAATTATTCTGACTACTCCATTGCAATCAATATATCAAAATCTTAATTTAAGTGTGATCATTTTCATTGGCAGGAATCAGGCCGTATGCTTAACTTCGGTATGTCAATATTGTTGGGCAACCAGTGTTACGCCGTATTTACGTTCGGTGAACACTTCAGTAAATCAAAATCTTACTACATTTACACTTCATGGTCAAAATTTCTTTGGTGGTGGAGGCACGACGATTGGTACACGAGTGAATATCAACAACAACTATTGCAATATCACTTCAATAACAAATCAATCAATCATATGTTCAGCGTATGATGTGGAAGCTGGTACACATGACATTTTCGTGTCAATCGAAGGTATGTTATTTCATCAATAATTTGTAGAAACAAAATCATATGAAACCTTTATGTATATCTTGTTTAATTTTTATAGGGGTCGGAAATACTAATACCTTGTCGAGTGTCATATCAACAGTATTTCTATCGAGTGTATCACCTACAACAAGTGGTATCTATGGTGGCATATTATTAAGTATTATAGGCATTGGCTTCTCAAGCAATATCGAACAAATTCAAGTTACTATTGGTTCGAATCCATGTCTTATAGTTCGAGTGACAACGAATGAAATTCAATGTATTATTCCTGTTCAAGACAATAGCTCGAATCCCGAAACTATTTACGTCGTTTCCAATGGGATCACAGTCACACTCCCGTCTTCAATCTATTATAATGCTACAATTACACCGAATGTGATTTCTGTTGAACCTACGTCCGGCAGTACCTGGCAGATATTGAACATTACAGGCGAAAACTTTGTTAATGGGCAAACCAGTGTTCGAGTCGGAAATACCCTATGTGTTATTACAAGTCTATCGACGACATCAATTACGTGTACACTTGCTTTAAGCATAGCAACAGGTCATTACCCTGTCATTGTACATGTAAACACAAGCGGAGATTCAAATTCCGATATACTTTTTTTTAGTGAACTTTTACTTACTAATATAACACCGGCACAAGGTAGCTACGGTGGTGGTCTTCAAGTCACAGTCATCGGTGATGGATTTAATGGAACGAATTTAAACGTCACTATATGTAATCAAACTTGTTCAACAGTTGTAGTTATTTCCAATACTGAACTCACCTGTATCACACCTTCTCTTGTACCTGTCGGATTTAACACTTCGTGCAATTTAACGGTTAATATCAATAGTATAAGTAGCAGTATGCCCTTTCTTTATACCTCCGATTTAACTGCAACGTTAGTGTCTGTGAGTCCAACAAGAGCCGGAACAGGAGGTGGAACAACACTCACTATCAATGGAAATAATTTTCCGTAAGTAGTTTTTCAATTATTGCACTATATGAACAACTGAAGTTGGATTATTTTCTGTATACAGGAATTCGACAGATGTATTACTAGTAACGATTGCAGGCGTGATATGTTCAGTGGAAACTAGCAATAGCACTTGTATAACATGTGAGATAGGCAGTTATATACAATCAAGTACTGTGGCCTCAGTGATGGTACTTATCACTGGTAGTGGCTATGCAGTTGGCTCAGTACAATTTCAATACATTGATCTATGGTCGAGTCGATGGACATGGGGCGGTGATGAGCCACCTGAAGCTGGTACTCTTGTCTCAATTGATAGTGGAGTAACAATCTATTTGGATACAATAACACCCATTCTTAAGGTACTCCTTATCGACAATGCGACGTTGATCTTTGACGATTCACAAGATGTTGCCTTAAATACAGAATACATTGTAATTACCAACGGTGGTTGCCTTCAAATCGGGAATGAATCGGATCCATTTCAGCATCAAGCTATCATTACAATGTATGGTCACTTGCGATCAATCGAATTACCAATCTGTAAGTGACACTTATTTTCTACTACCTCTTGATAATAATCGATTCTTTGCAGTTGTAGCTAAAGTATTGGCTCTGCGTGGTGGTACTGTTGACATGCATGGAGAAACGACTATCCGAACTTGGACCAAACTAGGAAACACGGCTAGTAATGGTTCATCGACAATTACTCTTCTTGAACAAGTCGACTGGTCTATCGGCAGTCAAATTATCATCGCCACTACGGGTGATTTTCTTAGTCAACAAGAAAGTGAAGTTCGTCGCATAATGAACATATCGTCCGATGGACTGACATTAACATTGGATGAACCATTGAGGTACACTCATTTAGGCGTTACACTAGATTTAAATGCGACATGGATCGATATTCGTGGTGAAGTTGGTTTACTCTCGCACAATATCATCTTCCAAGGTAGATATTAGTTGATTTTTAAATTATAAATGAAAACTATTTTGTGAAGGTTCCATTACTGACACATGGAATGAAACGATACCAGCATGTCTCGACGGATTCAATCCAGGTAGGATCATTTTGAACGTTAAATAAGAAATTTATGTAAATTGGCTTTTCTAAATCATGTACCAAAGGATTGTAGTGGTATGATTGAGCGAATGCAACACTCGTGTATTTTTGAAAAATAGAGCAAGTACTTAAAAAAAAAGTTTCAATTAAGGACCTACTTAGAATACCATTTTTTCGATTGACATTCTTAGTAATACCATTATCTTTTCACTTTTAAATTCAAACAGTTCCTCTACCAGATGTGTTCTGAATTATAAAGAAATATATAATGAAACTTCATTGATTGTGTAGATGAATTTGCCGTTCAAACATGCTATTTGGGCCGATATGGTGAAGAGATCGGCTCTGATCAATTTGGTGCAACAATAATGGTTAGTCAAGATATGATCACTGCTAATGGTACTCAACAAGTTATTCTACGCTTATCGAATGTTGAAGTATATCTTTGATGATATCATTTGTTCACATTACTATAGCTTTTGCCATTAGATAACCTACGTCGGACAAGCTTTTCGTCTCAGTCGATATCCGCTCAATTTTCAGATAAATGGAAATATGAGTATGTCCTACATTAAATCGTCATCTGTTCATTCATCTTTCAATCGAGCAATCAACATTGAGGCTAGCAATTACATCACCGTTGAGAATAATGTTCTCTACAATATTATGTAGGATCACAATGTTTACTATAGTTATTCATCTCATGTATTCTATAATGTTCTTAGGGGTGAAGCCATGTCACTAGAAGATGGCGTAGAAATAGGTAATATATTCAAAAATAATTTGGTCGTGTTTGTTCGATCAAGTTCTAGTCTTCTAAATGAAGAAATGACACCAGCTGCTTTTTGGGTAAGAGAATGATTCATAAAAACTTGTAAGATTGTTCTATTCGAATAGTTGACTAATCCCAATAATATTGTTGAAAACAATGCAGTAGCTGGCAGTACACATTATGGATATTGGTATCGATTACTTGATACGCCCAGTGGTGCATCATTTGCTTTATATCCAAATTATTCTCCTTATACACAACCGTTTGGTCGCTTTTATAATAACAGTGTACATAGTTCGGGTCGATTCGGAGTGTGGATCTATCCACAATACTCACCGACAATCTATGGTAATCCTTCACCACCTCAAGCTGTTTTCGATGGAATCGTTTCATGGAAAAATCGCAAAGGATTCGAGTGGGTCAAGTCCAATGCGATTCAAATTAGAAATGCTTTTGCTTTCGATAACAATGATGTTGGTATTTCTTGTATTACAGCTTTTGATTATCAAAGCCGGTGGAGATCAAGTCTTCTTGGTAATGGTTCATCAGTGGTCGATAGTGTTATTATTGGTGACACAGGAGGGTCTTCAAATCCAATCATACCATTGGTTGCAGGTCTTGTTGGTAGGCAAATGTTGTGATTTGATCATCTATCATGATTTAGAGGAGTTTTCTCACTACTTACCTGAGATATATTGTCGTAGCAAACCGTTTGTAAGTTTCAGACATTTTAATCATACGTAAATTTGAGCGAGTGGAGAGATGTTTTTGTTCTTGATTTTAATTAAGTGAGTACTTATATAAATTACTATGAATTTCCAATCATTTTGTAATATATCATTCTTATATATATAAAGAGTGAGAAATCATTTTCATAAATGTTTTTGTTCAATTCATTGACTAATTTATCAAGTGTCTAGCTGTGAAATACTTTCTTGGCTGACTGAATCAGTTCATTTGAATTTCATGAATTGAATTTAATACGAATACACTTGAAGATTAATAAAAGAAAATAAACAGAAATACGTTTTCGATAGGCCGGTAAACGTGTAAGTCGTTCTGTTGGTATCATAATAATCGATTCTCAGTTAGATCTATTCCATCTCGTTAAAGTTTTGGTTTTTTCTGTGTATATTCTTATAGACTATGTGTAATTAAGAAAACAGCTTTCTGAAGATGAAAATCATGCTTAACGTATTGTTTTTTTTTCGAAGTCAACATGGGCTTTTGTCATCGATTTAATGAAAGTTTGAGATCATATTAAAAGATGAAGTTCATATTTTGACACAGGGTCCACTATTGAGCAGAACAGATCTATGAATGAACGATATACTCAAATAACATTGTTTTTTTTTTCGTGCACCGCACATCAGATAGATAACAAGGTGCAACGACATGATATTGGTTATGAACATATTGAACTCTTTCATCTATTCGATTGAGTAGTAACGCAATTGGTAGATAAAAGTAAAAATAGCAGTTTCTCAGCTCAAGATGAAGGGTATAATCAAAATTTCACTTCTTTGAGTTCAGCTCGCAATGGTTTCAGCTTATGACAGAGAGAATACTTATCGATTTAGTCTTACAGTCTTATGAGGGAATCTCATCAGAAACATCTTTCTAATTTCAATGAGTTTTTGCCTATATAATATCTATAGATTAAAAAACTGTCATTGAAATCAGAAGTGAATGTTCAAGAAAGTCCCATCATCATCAAATTTTCTTAGCTGACAATATATTATTTTGAAGAAAAAGACCTTGTATAGTGCCGTTTTCATTTAAAAGCTCTGCTACTGTAGCAGGGATATCAATTTTGACTTGATTCATTTTACCATTACATACAATATAACAAATAGCTCAACTATAATTATTCATCTTTGATGGACTATTTTTTGAGGTTAAATTATGTCATGAATTTTGATTTCTCTTATAAAGAAGGAAAAAGATTATTTAGATGTTATTGATACACTCATTTGAAACTATCTGCCATTGTTTTGTAATAATAGCAACTTCCATAAGTGAACCTCTATAAAGTTACATTAAGTAAAAACATTTTCTTATGCGTAACAAAAGATAGAGAATTTTTCGATATCCTATGTAATTTTTCAGTTATTATATCTTTTGGAAACTAAAGTCGATCATCAAGAATTCTGTATATATCAAGAAGTGCGCAATTTTCAGTTCAGCAATTTGTTAGAGTCTATTTTGAACTAACTTCTTCTTCTAAATGAATGACTAGGATCATATGTTTCTTTGGCACAAAATGACAAGATGGATCCATATTGAAGTATACGATAATATGTTGTTGGGAATGATATAACTAATGCCAATCATTTGATCTTTCACCATGTAAACATAATGAACTTATCAAACTCATATTTGATTCTGGTAACGTACATTGATTTCAATGATATAGAGATCCAAATTAAGTACTGTTTTACGAGCACACGTACACAATCTAAAATTGTCTATCTCATAACAATGGAATAAAACTTTAGATCGAGTGTTCCTCTGTAAAGATGAATCATCAACAGTTAACACTGTAAAATAGTTACTCTTTTCTCTCTTCTTCGTAATACGATTACGGAATTGCTGTCTAAGTACAAATGTACAACGACACAGTACTCAATATATATATATATATATTTCGAAAATGAAATTTCACTAAAGATGCCGTGCAGAAAAGGCTCAATCAGTCTATCTTCAGATTTTAAAAAATTGATATATAGTTCAGTGTAGAATTCAACATGGAATTGTTTTGTAGTTTTGGCAAATCAATTCGACATGGTTTAACGCGATTGTTATCTCTAAATATTAATTTTCAGTTGTTATCCTTGATACGGCCAGAATATCTTCTCGATTTCTTTATTTGCCGACATTGATTTCAATTTCAAGTAAGTCTATCAAAAGTATTTTACTGCTGTCTTCTACCTGCCATTGCACTGAGGAGGAATGATATATGAGCAGCAAATACAGTGCTCCATGTTGTCTTATTGATGGAAAGAGATTTAGAGATATTAATGCTTGTAAATATTTATGTGCACGAAAATAGAATTTTTCTAGGACTATAAAACTATCCAATTACTAGACATAAAAAGTTATAGAAGGCTGAGTAAATGCATATTACACTATGACGGAGACATGATTTACGATTTTTTTGCTAAATCATGTCTCCATCATAGTGTAATATGCATTTCTTTAGTCTCCAACAGTTTCTTAGTCTGGCAGTTATAAACAGTTTTATACTTCTAGAAAAACACGATCGATTGGTACATGAATATTTATAAGCATCGAAATCTCTGAATCTCTTTTCATCGACAAGACAACAACCAGCACTACATGTGCAGCTTATATATCACTTCTTGTCAATGTTGTAGCAAATACAAAACACCAAGGAAATAGGTTTGATAGGCGTACTTCAAAATGAAATCAAAGTCAACATGTAAATAAATCGAAGAGATATTCTGGAAGTGTCGATGATGATAGCTGAAAGGTAATATTTAGGGTTACAATGGTATTAAATTTTGTCGAATCAATTTGTCAAAAATTATCAAACGATTCTTTATTAAATTCTACATCAAACTATATATAAACTTTGAAAACTTGAGAGTAGCTCGCTTTGATCTCTAATGCACTTACGCCATTTGACAGCTCTTCTTGCATTATAAATCTTGTCATCGTCTAAAATTCTGTAACATTTAAACAAGTATCATGTATTGCTAGGGTTGAAACTATTCTAGTTATAAACTTTGCGTTATAACTGAGTCAGTTTGTGTTGAAATATTTAAGTCTATTATCAGTGTCAATTATTTTAATTGCATCAACTTGCCCCATTTTATCTTTGCATCTTCTCTTTATCGGATGCATTGTTTCTCGCAATGAAGAAAGCCAGAATTTGATCAACAAAAAGGCACTGAGATACAAATCTATTGTGTTTTCGTTTATTTAGAAAAGCTACAATAGACAAGAAATTGACAAAAATATACATGCTGAATGTTTAGTGTGACTCACTGCTTTCTAATTGTTGAATCTGATAAAACAAAATACAAAACCTACATGAAACAACTAGGTCATAGACAGGCAGTTAAGTTTATCGAGCTAAATTATTGTTGATACTGAAATAATACATAACTGTATCAAATAATCGAGTTGAAATCTAGCCAATATTGTTATATTTTTCCTAAGTAGATCAATCATCTTGCAATGTGTTCGTCTGATCTAAAATAACTGTATTTTCAATGTTTAGTCTTATATTATGTATGCTTGCATGGATGCAGTTGAAGTAGATTCCGATTGTTTGACGCCACAGATTTTAAACTAGCTCAATTGACTACAACTACTTGGTCATTGTAATACACTTGAGAAAGATAAAAATGTTAACTCTAGTCAAAGCCTAAGAAAGCCTCATGGTGTACTAATGCGATTGAAATATAGGATATCCATTTCAACTACATCAGTAAATAAATTATACATAGGCGTTGATTTGATGTATGATTAAATGTTTCATTTTAAAGATTTTTAAAAACTTTAGGACTCAGTATTTTCGAAAACTTTTCTTTTAGTTCTAACGTTTCATTTTCAATATTTTTGCATTTGCTTTTCATAACTCATTTAATTTCGTATTCAAATCCTTAAGACATAGAACTAGGTTATTTTTATAAGAAATAGAAACCATGTCATCATTGGGCAGAATCTGTATTTGGGGGGACTAGGAATAGGACCTTTGCATGTCTACTACGTGAATCAGAAGATCATATCAAGATGAGAAAAAAAGTAGGCTCTTTGGAACTTGATATTTCAAATATGTACAAAATCAAGCATGGTCATTGATAAAACATCCGAATATCTACAAGTATATAGTAGGTAAAAATACCTACATTCTGGTTACAGCCGCAGTATTCATCATATGATGCTTACTGTTCGAGTTTTCTTTTAAGGAAAATTCGATTTAGTTTTCCTCTATGTTCATGAACACAATTCTATGAGTTGGTACCTACATGGATACAATCATGATGAAGCTTCAATTCCTATTAAAATTCACGGATTGCAATAGAAATCATAGAAAAATTGATTAGAATTTCAACAATAATAAATGACTGAGAACTTGACGCATAGGTAACACTCAGGTTAGCCATATTGAGTATTGAGTCGTTCTCTCTTACACCAGTCGTCATTTGGTATATCTGATCATTCAGGTTCTTATGAATTCTTAATATTATTTCATTTGCAGTAATGCGAGATCGAGGTTTTCACGTTCATAACGTAACCTTCATAAACTTTCCAAGTAATCAAACACAAGCGATTTTCGGGCCAACTGTTATAGGTGAATGTACCGATCAATGCGTAGGTAAGTAACCAACAGTATTTTCTTTTACTGAAAACAATTTTTCTCATATTAAAAAACAGGTTGGCTAACTGAATTCTCAAGCATGTCTTTTTATAATGTTGCTATCCGCGGAAACTTCCGATGGACATATGATGGTGTGTATCAGGATAATGATGGATCACTGGGAGGACAACCCAATTCAGTAATAATGGCACCTGATGGCATGACAAATACTTCATCAATATGCACATCAGTGTCGAACTTTGGTAATGCTATCGAGTGTCCCTTATCATGGGGCTCATGGCTTCGATTTTCACTTAATCAAACATATAATGGTCCACTAACCATTATTTCTGCTGAGACAAACCTTTCTACTGTTGTATCATGTCTGATGCAAGACCCTTATTCTTGGAGCTATACCATGTTTTTGCGAAGAAATCAAACATATCTGTTCACTTTCAGCTCTCAATTGGTAAGCTAAGAATCATTCGTCCTTTGTTTTAACGCATCGCGTTTTCTCTCGATTCGATTTTAATTAGGCTTGGTTTTATTATCGGTCTCCAAGAACTCTCTACGATATGGCTCCGGGAGATTATATTATTATTCAGCATCCCATGGATAATCGTCCAGAGTGTGGAATGGGACTAGAATCACCCACACCACTCTCTGGATTAAATAATAGTAACTGTGATTGGTACTATGATAGCAACAAATCCATTTTCTCATATATCAGTAATATTTCGCTGTCGTTATCTAATTTGTTTTTCACACCATTGTGTATTTAGTCAAAAACACACGTACTGAAGTGGCTGATCAAACTTGCAGTTTCTATATAGACTGGTGTCCTCCGCCACCTTGCAATCCTTGTCCAACAAATCCGACCCCACCAACTGCACCACAGCCAGGTTATGATATACCGACGGCTTCGCAGGTAGTAATTTACTTCGTTAACGACTAGTAGCGTTTTTCGTTCGATTATGAGTCTTGTAACAAAGAGATATTTATAGTGATCGTTTTGACAAATTTTCCAGTGAACAAAGAGAAGACTACATTTTTGTTGCATGCCCAAATTTCCTAATGTATTAGTTGTATTGAATATATTCTGCAACAATGAATACATCGGTTTTTATAAGAAATCTGATGCAAGGAATCAGATGGACACCATATTTATTGTACTTCGAACAAGTAAAATGAAATGGAGTGATTTAACATAACCCGTTGCATTAAAGATAAAATGATATTTCTATTTTTCTGATACTAGAAGTCGCGGTACGTGATTATCCACTCGCTAACTACCACATCAGGATTTTCTTAAAGTTCCGACGTCTACACACTCATTCTGAGTGAATATCAGGCTAAATCTGACTACTCAGAGCTCAATTTATATATGATTTATGGTATCTGAAGTCTCAAAATTATCCAACATATCAAATTTATCCTACAGAAGTAAAATTCATAAAATGAGAAATACTTCAGTACTTTTAATTAGAACTCTTATTGTTGATGGAACTTACCACAGTGTGTGTGTGTGAATCTAAAAGAACAATCACTATATTTTGTAAATGACTTTCTTGAAGATGTATAGAGTTGTTCTGCCTATTAAGTTTCTTAATTTGAGCAGGGTCTGACAATCTAAACTAAACACGATCAGATTTGTAGTGTATAGAACGGATTTTGAAACTGCAGGTACGAAATTTATGCCATTTAACATTTTTTCAATACAGTTTTTTACACTTTTCTTTTGCATAACGACCACAAGGAAATACATATATGTTCAAGTTCTCTCAGAGATATTTCAATAGACTGACGTGAGTCTGCTCATAAGTTATTTGATGTGGCTTAATATTCTTTACTGGCAGTTTAATTTGCAGTTCATAAATTTTTCATGGTCACAAGTGAAAATCAAAATACGAAGAAAATCAATGGCATAGAAAATTCAGAAAATTATTAGTTTCTTCATGCTGCTTTAGTATTACTGTTGGAAAAAATCAATTTCAATATGACTGTAGCAAAAATATTTATCCATATAATGGCATAGAAACAAATACTTTATCTCAATGGAGTTTGTTCGCCAGCTTATGCATAGGGATTGAAACTTTTCTATGTGGCATAGCATGCATTCACTATAATATCAATACTTGAAGTGTATGAGAAGTTTCAACAGTATAGTCGAGTGGACTAAGAAATATAGAGGAATCATGCGCGTCATAAAATACTTTGATGCAAAGTTGCATCAACCATGAGTGTAACTCAAGCAATACGAGTCCTCTGTCAATATTTTGGCTAGGCTCAAACTTTACATAGACAGTAAACTAAAGTATTTAGTTGAATAGAATAATGTCTGATATTTACCTAGGACTTTTCTATTAACTGTTGCTAGATAAACAGAGTAACTGAACAATGTCGATCTTGTCTCGGACGCGAATAATACTTGTATGTTTATCTTATATCAATGAATGGTAATGATATGAAACAGAATAGCTCTGTTTTATAATTTCTTCGTAGCTTTAGCCCATACTAGCATCTTTTTTTCCCATAAAAATCGAGAAGATTCGAATTTTTCTACATCAGCAATGTTATCTATCGTTTCTAATTGGTATCTAATGATTCTTTAATTTAAATATATCGCTATTATCGGTGCATCCTTCTATCTCTACTTGCTAATAATATCTTCTCGGCAGACTTGAATGAATTGGCGAAGACCACTGAAAAACTTCTATAATACCAAAATTCTTTCTATTGCCTCGTTCTTGTATTTAAAATAGACGTTCTCTACATCTTCATGTGCGAGTTTTTTCTAAAAAGTATACATTGTCATTCGTAGCAAAAGCATCGAGTCTAGAATATTCATGCAATGAGAAAATGTTCAGTACGTAAGCAACTTAAGTAACTGACTATCAGACTCACATATACTTGAGAAGATTTAGAATCAAGTGATATTTTGATAATGATTTTCATATGTAGATAAAAAGAAAGCTTGTATTCGTTTACAACAGATCCGCTTTCCCTCTGTGGAATAGTTAAATAAATGCTAGCAGAGATGGTTTTTTGTCTCACCATTTGAACAGTGCGGATACATAATATGTCATTCAATCTCTTTAAGCACTTCATATAAAGCATTCTTATTCTCTAGCAATGCTAGCAAATAGAGCATTATATTGATAATGTGCTCATATTCCAAGAATTCAGAACGATGTAATGCTATTTTATTGATTGTATTTTTTTATTTTGCTGATCCCTAATTTTTTATATCATTTCAAGTGTTCTTTCGATGATATAAGATACTGGTCAAATGATTCTCACTGGACATTTGGACCACAAGCTTACGATAATTGGAGTAAGTTGAATATTTGATTATTATTACTCATCATCATTAAAATATTTGATAGATGGTACCAAGCCAGACAATGGTAAGAATATTTTTGTTCCTCGATGTATTTGGCTTGTGATCGACTGCCCATTACCGATGATTGCTTCATTGAGAATCGATGGTGTAGTCGAGTTTCAACAGGTTCCATTTGACTGTTTAAACGTTTTCGATTTTTCCATTCTTAAATATTTTTTTATAGGGTAGAAATCATACAATGTATGTAGGTAGTATTTTCATCAATGGAGGTAGATTGATTGCCGGTAAGAATAATTTTTTTCAATCACTAGTTGAGCTCTTTTGTTTCTCTCAGGTTTACCTGATGCTCCTTTTAATGACAGTATCGACATTATTCTTCAAGACCATCATTCAATTACGATTGCACTGCCCTATAATTTTCCGCTTATTGGATCTAGAGTAATCGCTGTTCTAGGTGGTCTCGATTTGCATGGTTCTTTACGTGGTATTTCATGGACACGAATTGCCACAACTGCTGCATCAGGTGAAAGCTTGATTGTATTAAGCGAACGAGTCAGTTGGATGATTGGTGATGAATTCGTCATTACCACTACGGATAGGGATATATCACATACAGAACGGCACCGTATTGCTAGTATCGACAATGGAACGATAATACATACGATGATTCCACTTGCTTACACTCATATCGTCTTACAACAGACATTTCCAAATGGTCAAACGGTCAACATAGCTGCTGCAGTTGGTCTATTGACGCATAATATACGCATTATTAATCAAAGTCCATCACCTAATCTATCTGGCTTGCGAATTTTCATCACACAATATTCGACACTTATCCGGTATTCGGATACAAACCAATTGGTAGATACATACTACAAGGGCTATGCTAGACTTTCGAATACACAGTTCATTGGTTTCGCACAATTTGATGATACAACTAATAGCGATCAACAATCATGTATATACATGAGTAATCTAAATGATTGGAATTCACAACGACCTACTTACATCGATGGTTGTTCATTTGATGGTGGATTTAATGCTGCGTAAGTTAATAAATAGGATAAATTTCTTCCCTTGACGAAATTTTTCTTTAACAGAATTGGCATGTTGAATACAAACGGTGTACCTATTACAAACAATGTTATTTATAATACATATCGAACGGGTATTGCGGTTACCGGAAAGAATAGCATTGTTCGAAATAACCTTGTAACAACTGTCTATTGGTCGGGCACGGCTCAGTCGTCGTCAATCTCTCAGTACAATATCAATTATGATGGAGCAATTATGTCTCGTGATGCGATCAGTGTAATAATGCAGGTATGATGTACAAAAAAATTTCCTTTTCGATATTTTAAAGTTATTTCGTTTGTTTCTAAAGAATAATCTTGTATCTGGAGTTGAACGATCGGCTTATCGAATCCAAGGTGAAGCATGTCCAAGTGCATACGTTCCTGGATATATACAGAATGGTTATTCGAACAATGAAGCTCACTCGGCAATGTCTGGAGTCAGTCTTTGGCCATTGGATAAAGGCTTTTCATATGATCGAAGTATACTATCCGAATATCACTTTAATACCACATTTTTTTTGTTTGTTTGTTTAGAATGTGTTATTATTAAAGGATTCACGTGAGTACAAGAAACAAACTTAGACAGTCTGCACACATGTCCTACATATAATTTTCTCGAACACAGATTAGTGATAGAATAACTCAATGAAAACTCTTCTACTAATGAATTTTTTGACTCCCTTACTTCTATAAGAAATCGGAATATTAATAGTAATTCTATAAAAATTCAGTATCACAAATAGTATCTACTCGATCATTTGTTAATTTGACAGTGTATATTTTGTCAGTTTAATCGATCACGAGATTCATCAAAAAAATAATTATTCATCGTCCAACTGGCGACATACGATTAGCGTTCATGAGGTCTCAATGAAAGCACGAACATAAAAGTTCTATCGATCGATGTAGTAGCGAGAAAAAAACGGATTCTCGAATATGACTTGAAGTATCGAAAACTGACTTTTTTTCACTTTATGAAATATAAATAGCATTTATAAAGCATGGTATTATGGTTTTTATATAAATACACCTCGCAATATCACCATTGACTCGTGTAAATCAATCGATAGTCGGGTTGGTATTTTTACGTACATTGTTGGACCATCGCGTAAGAATTTTTGCTATGATTTTCATTCTATCTAATACTATTTTATCCTATACTTTGCTAGCTCTAACGCATATAATTATTCAAAGCAGAGTTAACATTCAAAATTCAATGGTTATTGGTTCGATAACACTGAATGATTGTAGTGATGTGATTAATTCATATTCGAGCAATATTCAATTCGCTCAGATGGCTATACCAACTGTGTCGGGAATATTAGCTAACAATGGCGATGGTGATCGATCTGGTATCGTTTTTCCAACAATTTCAACCTATAATGGCATGCCAATTCGTTCGTGGAACCGTATTGGAAACTATCCTTGTCGTGAGTGAATGTAGAAAATGTTAGATTATTTTTCAATTAACATTCTTTATTGTTCTAGTTGATGGTTCAATGTTGATTAGAAATGTTATTCTTGCATTCTTCAACGATATTTGTAATCGACATGATACAGCCATTCAAGTATCGCAAAGCAATGATGATGGACAGTTTCCTATTACAACAAGTTTAATGTTTGTCTATAACACATCTGAAACAAATATGGTTTTCAATGGGCAACCGAATTTGGGTGTAGTTAATCCGAGTCAATGTGGTGGTAAGTTCATTTAAATGATCGATTCTCATTGTCACTTCATTGTAAACTAAGATATGGATTGTGATGGTCTCAAAAAGAATTTAATCATCGATACTGATGGAACACTTTTTGGACAATCGTCTAGTGTCTTTTCTCAAGCTGAGTCTCTCTGGGGTAAGTAATCAATGCTTCTTCTTCTTGAACATATTCCATGACATATCCTTCTGCAGGTAATCAACAGCATGGCATTGGTGACTTTCGTATTCCCAAGGTAGCAATGACAAACCTAAGTGGCAACAGAATTAATATAAGCTCTATTTATCCGTATCGTGGTATCAGTCGTAGTAATTCTTGCATCCTTCATTCATCGTGGGGAATGTATCAATGTAATTATGTCTCTGACCATCGTATGTTGATCATTGAGAGTATGGATTCAGATACTGAAACACGACGTATTTCGCCTGTTGCTATCATGTCTAATAATGGCTATATTGATTTGATCAACGGACCTAGCAATCATCTTGTTTGCAATGGATATGCCTGTCGACGACGCATTTCAACATTCATGGCCATTGTTAAATCAGGACAAGTATATCAGATCTATTTAACAAGTACTCCACCGAAGCGTATACGTTTTCGACTTATTAATGCTGATTCAACAATTAAATGCATATTGGCTTTGTACTACAATTCATTACAACAGATTGACGTTTATGCCAATACTGTTTACATGTCACCAATTAACCGGGATCCGAATTCAACTGTTCTCAAACTTCTTGATCAACCCAACAATCTTACCTTTTCATCACCGCCCGGTGCTAATTATTTTGACAGGTTTGTATTAATTCCAATGACGACTGCATATAATGACTATTAGATCAAACAATACTATGACTGAGAGAAAGAATTCATATATATCCAAATTATACTATTAACAATATTTGCAAGTAGATCTGAGCAATTTGTACTTCCAGTGTAGATAATTTTTTTCCTGAAAACTTTATAAGTCATGTCGATATATGTCTAAACTTTTCATTGGAGTGTAATTTCAATTAAAATATTGTTTTCGAAAATCAGAGATACAGAATGTATACAATTACATCCACATGTTTGGTGAGAATATTTTTTGATTTTTAATAGATTATCTATAAATTTTTCGAAAACCTAGTTAAGATGCATTAGTTTAACGGAGTCAATTTTTAACTTGTTTTCGGCATTTCATATAGCTATCTTGTCTCGATCAGTCACGTTCTATCTTACATTGATTTATTTTTACAGATTTGCACTTACATCTAATGTATTATCCTTCAATCAAGACTATTTCTGCGGTTCTGTTTAAAAAAAACTTTGAAGCGGTTAAGTCAATAGGAGGTCTTATGTGATTTTTCAAACTGGCAAGATTCATTCTAAACATTGAGTTAGATTATAAAGTGGTACCTATATTACTTTTTATATTTTTTTGAATCAAATCAAACTCGACACTTTTTGTGTATGTCAAAATTTTTCGTTATTAAATCAATTATATCTCTTCTTTGCTGATAAATAGAACCTATCAATTAACTTATTTCGTTATCGATGGTAATACGATGGTAGAATTAAAAATGTCACCACTGCTTATTCTCAATTTCGGACTACCACCGATGGATCCAGCCATGTTTTACACTGGTAACATTCGTGCCAATTTAGCTGCTCTCTTCAATATCAGTCCCGATAAAATTCGACGTGTTAGTATTATATCAGCTTCGAATCAAACGTAAGTATTGTACTAATGAAAGAAANTCTCAAACTAAACTTTGATTATCGAAGTTCGATTATTCATTTGTATTAAAGAGCGAAAAAATAAATATATAAATAAAATGACCATTGAAAAATTATATTTGTATTTGTTATTCTCGTTCTTTTAACGTAAAAAATTAACTTAAGAGTTCTATATGATTTGGTTCTGATATGATGACACTCACTTACTGTCTGCTTGCTGATTTTAATGATGCACATTAAATTTATCTATACTTTGTCTTGTTGATGACTCGACTTTCTCTGAATTCTTATATTTCTGAGTAAATTCGACAAAAAAAAATCAAAGATTTCATCTTGAAAAAATAGCGATTCAACAAACGCATCGACGCCTTGATAATGTACTTTTGAATTCGATTGAAAAATACAATCAAGATAGAGTATCGTTTTTGCTACATATCTTGTTCTTTCCTGTTTGATTCAATGAAATAGAATAGGGTATGAAAATATCACTACAAATATCTCTGGTTCAGAATAACTGCAATTAAAATATTGTTTGTTTTATTGTTTTATAGCAAATCGTATTTTAACAGAATCAATGCAAGTTGTTATAAGTCGTCATCCATCATTGCAAGATTTTAAGTATGTTAATGATATAAGTAGTATATTAATTGAACCACAAGATAAAGAAGAACCTATTTATCAAGAATTAATTCAAATCGATCATTTAATATCAACACCACCAATAGATCATATGAATGATGTTGATGAAAATAAAGAAAACCGTCCTCCATTAATGCCGATTAAATGTCAAGTATCACGTATACCTGTTTCGACACCATCAAATAATAAAAATATTAATACACCAAAGATATCAAGTAAAAGCAAGAAAAATGAAGAAATAAAGAGAAAAACAACAACTAAACATAGTCTTACCGGTAAATGAATTTAAGCATTACTATAGTAGTTTTTGAGAGAAAAATTACTTTAAGAAAGTAATCATAGGACAAGTTCTATTTATGTTTCTAACTCTCGTGTTCTTATCCGATTAAAACAAAAATGAATTCATAAACTCTAGTAGTGATGGATCAAGAAAATATTCGTAAGGAAAGCTCAGCCGCAGTTTGAAATTGACAAGCAAGTATTTTTCTTCGTCTATAACAAAGAAGGAAGTTCAAAGACTTCTACAAGGGGTTTTCCCACTAAGCTTCATATAATCTAATTCTCATTATAATATTTAACTACTACCTACTTCTTATCTTAATGAAACACTAAATTCTTCTTCATCTGATTGTTGACATGACTTGACTTCAATTGCTTCCAAATCTTATATCCTTGAAGAATTAAAGTAATTGTTAATTTTTTATGAAACTCTTATTTGTTTTTTGTTACTTAAATTATGAGTTACTGTTATTGTAAATTAGATTTGAATAAACCAATTGATTTTTTAAATTCAATTAAAAAATATAATCAAGAAAGTATATGAATTCTACAAGATGATACCCTATCTTATTCATATTTTTTTTCATGAAATTGAATTCGTAAATGCATATAGGAATTACTAATCATTAAAGAAATGATTTTATTTTTATCATTTAGATTTACTTGATGAATGGTCTCATATGGCACCTAAACTCAAAGAATTATTATTAAGTACACGTAAAATACCACTTCGTGTATGTATTTATTTTTTTCATTAATTTCATGATTTTATTGATAGTACTCATTTAAGATGCCTGAATTGACAACGAATAGTATTGAATTTCGTCGTCTTAAGCAATTATTAAACGATATGGAAATGACAACATCATCATGGACAAATGCCATTAATCAATGTCGTTATGTTCTTCAACATGCTCAACAACAATTTCATCGTTCATAGATTTAGTTATTTTTTTTTTTGTTTATTTATCATTTGTTTTTGCTATTTGTTACTGTTTGTTTTGAATATTGAAATCAGTACTTTTTATATTAGTCTAATTGTTTATATATACATATATCCGAAATTGTCTTTGTGTTTCAGTATGAATAGTTTGAGAAAATCAATTAATCGTATTAAAAATATTTTCGATTGTTATGTATCAATATTCAATATGATTGTAATTTTTTATAATTCAAATATGTAATTTGACTAAAATAGTTTTTTAAAAATGTTGTTGAATGAATAAATATTTAAAAAACTTCGATAAACATATATATATATATATTTAAAATACATTATTATTTCAAACAGATAACTGCATGAATTGATTTATATTTATTATTTTCTCTTTCATAAGTATCAAGGTCGATATTTTATATTTGTTCTTTCGCATGAATTGAGAAAATTATGATAATGATAAATGTTTATTCAGCGCCAAATGTTTCTCAGTATAAGACAAGGATCTCTGTCTTCCATTACAATTAACATTTCTACATTGATCTTTAGTTGTTCGATCTCGATGATAAACGAGCAAACATCGTTTCATTTCTTTAAATTCATTATTGTACGAAAGAGGTATATCTGTTTGATTTTCTAAAATATGAAAAAGTCGTTAGTTTTTTTGACGAGAAGAATAACGTAGTAGTGTTAATCGATATGTGAGATAGTGGGGAAAAGATTTCACAACAACGAATTTTTTTATTTCTTTTTTCTATAATATTAAGCATTTCGCTCAAATTTAGATAGAAGTTTTAAGAGCCAATGGAGTTTTCTATCTAATGAATTTTATAGCTAGGTTTCTAAAAAAAACTGGACACAGCAGTTTTCAGGTCTCAGAAGACTTTATTGGAACTATTTTTTTAGGAATACCATTCTAAAGAGCATAAAGCGACAATTCGCAGCATTTCCAACGCACTCTCCTTGAAACGTAATAGTATCACAGAAACATGAAATTCATCAAAAAATCGATTAAAAAGCATCTTTTTTTGGGTTTGTATAATACTTTTAACTGTTTTTTTACGGAAAATTGAGAAAAATGTGGCGACTACTTAATTTGTGCTCTTTAAAATAGTATTTTTAAAAATCAATTCCGATAAAGTCTTCTGAGACTTGAAAACTACCGTGTTCAGTTTTCTTTCTACAAAACCTTGCCATTGTAGTTCATGCATAAAATATATTATATAGAAAAGTCCATTGGCTATTAAAATAATTATTTGAATTTGAGCTAATTACTTAACATTATAATTAAAACAAAAAAATATCGTTGCTAAATTTTTTTTTTCTACCTTCTTATGTATATATGTTAAAGACTAATTGAATTTTAGGCAGGTTTCAGTTTTAATTAGTCATAAAACGACGAAATAATTTTCTTCCGTTTAAAAACAAATCCTTTTATTTCATTTCTATTAAGAGAATAAAACATATACTTGTTATATTTAAGTAGATAGAATATTCATTTTCATTATTCATATTCTAATATATGCACGAATGACTTCTTCAGCATCGACTTGAGAAAATGATGTTCGAAAGTATTTTTGATGCGTAAACAAATCAACATGTTTTTTTGTTTTGAGCATCAGATTCCGAGATAAGACACATTTATTATTCTACCGCAAAGAATACGTAAGTTTAGAAGCTCTTCATTGTTTTTTATAGTTGGAACTTAAGTCAATAGAACATTATATTCATACTTTAGATATTATCTATGAGCTAGATCAAATTCGATAACAAACAAATATCGAGAAAAAATACTATTCAAATAAATATTAACTTAGAGATCTTTTTTTTTCTTTTTCCTTTTGTTGTTGGTCAGAGCTTGCTAAGATAAAGTCAACTTTAATTAAGGTGAGTATAAATATATAAAAACGATTTTTTTTGTTCTCATACTTTTTGATTTTTTCTTTTTGTTTTCGAATCTTAAATCTCAAGTTTGCCTAACACACATACAGTGGATTCAATAATTATTCGACTAGATTTCTTTTCACCTTTTTTTTCTATACCCTTAACTCTAATAAGAATCTAAATAGTGGGTTCTGCAGAAGATTTTATTTTCAAGAAGAATTTTCAAAGACGAAAATGATTGCTAGTTTTCCAAGGAAAGAATTTATGAAAGATTCCTAGTTTTTCATCTTATAGAAACCGCAAATAGAATTTCGTTTGAATTATTCACAATGACAGAACAAACATTATTCTTCTAAATGTCTTCCAGCTGTCTACAACGTTCTCTGACTAAGAAAGATCAATATTATGGAAAACACAAGAGTCATTTGTTCTGCTAATTTGTATGGAAAGATCATTGTTTTTTTGCCTTCCGTAAGATTGATGCCTTTGAGTGAAAAAATGTCATAGATAGCTACTAGACAATTTACTAGAGAATTATTTGCAGTATCATTCAAGGTAATTCAAACAGAATTCTATTAGCAAATTCTAGGAGATGAAATACCTGGATTTTAGTCTTTACAGAGGTTCTACCCTTGGAAAATTAGTCATCATTGCCATCTTTGGAAAATTGTTATTGGGAATAAAATTCTCTATACGATTCAGAGTATATACTACAAAAGTAGTTAATGTTAATAGATAATTATTTACATAATAAATTAATATATTGTTAGTTAACTGAGCAATTTAAATTGAAGATGTAATAGTTTAGACACAAAAAAAAATCTACAAAACAATGACTACTTTTTATGATTAGAATAGATGATATTATTAGAGGACGAGTTAAAAGTTTCTAGAAAAAATATTTGACTATATTTTTACATATATAAATACATTTATAGTGTATTAGAAGCAGAATTTTGTGTTCTTTCAGAAAATAAACTTAGAATTTTTTTATGATTTTTGACTATTGAGTTATAAGTAAATCTTAACAGGACTCGAAAAAAGTCTTCTGAAGAGGCTAAAGTGTTATCTTTCGGAAGACAAGTCTACTTCCTGTAGACATCAGATAAGCTCTGTAAATACATAGTACTTGAGGTTGATTTCTACTCTAGAAAATGACTCAGGAAGGGAGAGTCTGGATTAATTCGTTAAGAAAAATTGTAGAGTTGTAACGGAAGGTTGATTTTGCACTGAAAGGTCAAAAATCATAAAAATAGACTTGGTGAAAGTCTTTACTGTACGTAAACAATTTTATTCAAATATATTACTTTGCAGAGGATTATTTTCTGTATCTTCAAATATATCCAATAGAATTTCGCAGTATATCTTAAAGAAATGTTACCTTTTTCCCTCAAAAATAATATTTTTCTTTTCAATATTTTCAAGATTCACTTCTAACTCACTAATAAAAAGTCATAGAAAAATTGTAAGTATGTCTTCTGAAAGAACACAAAATTCTGATTCTGTCATTGCTTTCCAATGTATTTAAATACGGTAAAAATAATAACATATATTGTCTTGGGTCTTTCAGTTCAAGGCTTAGACGAAAAGATCAAAACATACTTTTTTGTCCTTGATAATTATTAAAAGAATTACATCGTTGAACTATAATATCTTTAAAGAAAAAGTCATTGGCATCGGAAATAGATTGTCTTGAGAATCTTGAACAAGTTCTTGTTGATATTAAAGACGATGATGATGACAATAATTCTATTTGTTTCTTTTCCGATGTACTTATTTTATCATTCGAATAAGATTTTCTATTAGAAATAACATATTTTTTATCTTCTATTTTATTTTCAAGTAAGAGACTAAGTCTATTAATACAATATTTCAATTGATCAACTAAATTTTGAATATTTTCATTTGTTAAAGTAGGAGTTATGATTGATTTGGTTTGATCGATATTTTTTGACAGTGCAGTTGTTGATGATAAAATATGATGTGATACATGAGGCGCAATTGTTGATGAAAAATGAGATACAATAGAAGAAGTAGTAGGTAAATGAGATGTAGACAATGTTCCAAAATCAATCTGTGAACCTTATTATTAAACAAGTTGAGAATATATCATATTCAGTTTTTTTTTTTTGTTTCTACCGGATATAGTAACATCTGGTTTAGTTTGATTGTTATCATCAGCAAGTATTTGTGTAAATGCTAATGAACTAGCTGATGAATCACTTACAGAATTGACCTTCACTGTTGTCATATTTATAGATCTTGACATTTTCTTTTCATGTTCTTGCTGTTGAAACAGAATATTGGGAACGAGAGTTGTCAAAATGTTTGTATTATGATTTGTAGTTGATGGTGAGATTAAACATTTGTTTATTGTTGATTGTATTGGTGATGTTTGTACTTTGACAAGAGTAAATGATGAATTATATTCGGTAGGATAATTTTTAGAATTTTGTGATGGATTTTCTATGAGATTAGTTAATTCAGTTTTGTTATTCCCTATTGTAGAAATATGAAGAAAAATTTTTTAAATTTTAAATTCATATGTATTCACCTTGATTTATTATAGTTTCATTATTAAGATTATTTTGTTCATATTCAAATTGTTTTTTCATTATTGTTTGTGAATTAAAAATATCATGATAAGATATTCGACGTACAGTAATTATATTTTGTTGATGAAAATTATTAATAGATTTTGATCGTTTATTATTTTTTGTACGATTTCTATTCGATTTTAGTCTTTTTTTATCTTTTCTACGATTTCGAAATCTTTGTCTATTATTATAATGACAAATATTTTCCTGTTGTTCTAACAAATTGGTATTATCGAATGTTGATGGTTGTAAATATAAATGAGATGGATAAAAAGATTGTTGAATTGTTTTATTGAATTGTAGATCAGGTGGTGGATACATTTGTGGATCAATTTGATAATACGCATATACTGCTGATAAATTATCTTTTTCCAATGGTATATATGAATTATTATTATTTGTATTAGATGAAGAAAATAACATTGAATTCTGATAATTATATTTGATTGAATTTGTTTCAATATTTAATTGATGTATAAGTGATAATAAATTAGTTTTGTCATCATCGGATTCCTAGAGAAGAAGATTTTTAAGAGTATACATGTATAGTTCTCTTCTATGTTGTCGACTGTAATCTGAAGAAGAAAATGACACTATAAAGCATGTTCAAGTGAAGACAGAAAAGATAAAATATAAATTTAAAGCATAATAAAATAACTGGAAATAGCAATTAGCTGGCGGCTAGGTTACTAAAGACTACGTAGTAGATGTTTTTTTATAGAATGCATATTTCTTTATTTGTAATTTTCTATAGAATACATTCAGCCATCCTGACCTAACTAGGCTTTCAATTAATTCATTATTTAGTTCGTTCGTTCGTTTTTAACAAACTTCTAAATATTTCTCTGATAAATTTTTAATCCTATTCTCATTATTTATACTTATTAAAAGAAAGTCTCACATATTACTTTATAATAACATTTTATATCGTAAAATCAGTACGATTCAGTATATTTCTTCACTAATAGGATATAAACATCCTAAAGATTGAATATTATAAGAAGTAATATAGAATAGAAAAATAGAAAATTTCGATAGAAATTAAATTTTAGATCTATTGATTAAAGAAAAAAAGCGTTAGAAAGTAGCACTACAAGAGAGCGTCTGTATGTGTGAGAATATCTTTTCGTTTTAATGAATATCAATCAAATAACACAGTACAAATTGTATAGGATTTCGAATATTTTCAGAATAGATTATAATGTACCATTTTTTTTTTTATTAATTTTTCTTTTCTTGTTTTAATTATAAAGAGAAAATATAAAATTATGTCTATTATTATTATTAAAGTAATCAATAAGAATAGAATTTCGTCGAACTTTATTTTGACTCTATTATTTCTTATTGTTTTTGTTCATCGAAATGATATATAAAGTAAACTACATTTCATTACAGTTATTTGTTTGACCATGAGAAAACCAAAGATTCTATTATAAATATTCTAAGCATATACAAATAACAAAAGCCAAATAATAAACTCAATAGACAGAATAACCTTGTATTTAACATTATGTTAATAACACAGTACTTCTACTGAATCCAATACATACATGGTGACCGAGTCTGACATTCTAATCCTATTTCATTATGCCAATACTTTTAGATAACATTTTTTTTTATTTTGTATTTGACTATGAATTTCTTTTTTTCTCGTTATCTGTACCCTACTTCATTAATTATTATGGTAAGATATAAATAAAAATTCTATTATTGTGTTAATTAAAAAAGTTCTACAAGTTAAATTATTTGAAGAGTTTTATAATTTAGAACATTTTTTTTTATCGTTTGATGTGTCTCGTATGAGTGAGAAAAGGAAAAGAATTTTTATCTTAATCATTCTTAAATGTTCATGTTTCATAAAAGAAATACTATTATCATATACCTACATTTGTAAATGAAGATAGGATTTTAATGAATATAATTCAATAATATTCTCTTCTTTCACAAATGCTAAAAACTCATTACATGGGAAATCAGTTTAATAGTACGTATTAGCCTTCTAAAAACATTGATAAATTCTTCAACTCTCATAGGATGTGTATATTCTCAAGAAACAGAGAACAAAAAGAAGAAAATTATGAAAATCTAGTCGCTATATTCTAAGTATGGAGTGAAGTAACATTTTTGCCGTCACTTTTCTTGTTCTTATTCATCTATCTGTCTATCTATCTGTCTAACCATCCATCATTAGCAAGCGACAAGTAATAATTTATAAATAGTAAAAGGTAAGACAAGTAACGCATAGCTCAGAATCAATAGCATTTTAAATATTTTAGTCATTGTTTTTTTCTTAAAATATTCACCGTGTTGTTTATTTTTACACAACCAAATATTTTTCACTCAAAAAAATACTTATCTCGTCATTCTTAAGATAAGAACATGTAAAACGAAAAAATCTTGAATATTTTCCGGATTTTTTTTTATGATACATTGATCATTCAAGGACCGACCTAATTACTCTTAGTTTCAATACATTAAGTAATTTCTTGAGTGGTAAACATATCTCGAAAACAAATTAATTTAGCAATTAAATTTTTTCACAAAAAAAAAAAAAAGTAAAGATTTCAATAATTGTATTCAATGCTGATTTTTACTCATGTTATTTTTTTATATATGAAAGGATAAAAATTGTTCTTTTTTAAAAGAAAAGAATCTTTTTGTAAAATTTTACTCGATGAATCTTTCAATAGAAAAAAAGAACTTTTGATTAATTAAACATGACTTTAATTATTATCAAAATACTGAAATTGCAATTTATTCTGAGTTTTATCTGTACGAGTACTCTTACTTATGCGTACTTGATAAAAAATTTGTATTTGCCTAACTCTGTTCTAGATTATCTATTACGTTTTTAGTTTAATGGAACGCATGTTAAGTGCAAAGAACATGTTAGTTTTTGTTTAAAAACAATTAAGTAAATCATATTTCACATCTGTCTTCGTTAGTATTTGTGTTAAATAAGCAAAAGGTTGTGCCATATTTTTCCTATAAAGGATATTTACGTGTATAAGGATTTTCTTCTTTTTGAGTAATCAACACATTTAATAATAGTTCTGTGACATAAACTATTAGGTAGAGATTATATGAAGTTGAAAAAAAAAATTATTTAGAAAAGAAGAAAAGAAAAAAGATTTAATCCAGGATTCACAGTGAATATCCATTGTTTTTTCTTTTAGTTTATAAAAAGTAAATAGCTCATGCGGAACAAAACAAAAGTCAGATAGTTACGCAAATATTGAACTATTATAATGAGTATTTTATTTTGCATTGTATTTTTTATGCATTAAATTATCTAAAATAAAAAGAAATCATTGAATTTAAATATCTATCTATGTATATAGATTAATCATAATACAATGTCAGATGCAATGGAGTAAATCTAATGAACGGAAAACAAATGACACGTAAGAATATTTTTCTGCAAGGACGAAATTATTATAGGGAATAACAAAATTTAAGTCAGTCATTTAGCTAAAGATAGAATTTATAAAAAAGTAATATTCAAAATTTTGAAAATATTCTTTTATTTATTACGTAAAAAGAAAATGTTTTTTTCTAGAAAACTTTTTTGATTAGTTTGTATTAGATGTCCATAGTTCATAAATTAATTAAGGTTTGCTTTATCTGGAGACAAAACATATAAAGTATTTTCACTTGTCAGATGATGAAGAAAAAAACAAAGACAAGAGTCCCTTGATAATATATTTCAATATAATTACCTCCGTTAATTGACATAAAAGAAGACATATTAAAAATGTTCTTTAATGAAATAAATTCTTTATCTTTTCAAACCATTGTGAAGCTCATATGAATCCATCTCGTAATCTTTTGATTCTATATATATATATATATATGCATATTTATATTTTAGATCTTTTTTTTGTTCTCTAATCTTTAGTTTCAATGGCAATATTTTACATTATTAATCTGCTTATATTCTATAAGAGCTATAGTTACATGATAAGAATTGATATTTAAGGTTTGTATAATTTTTGTTGCTAATGGATGCATTTATATTGCCTTTAATAATGATGAGTATTCTTTTTGGTGTAAATTAGAATTGTTAATTTCTAGTATATAGTTTATTTTCTATAAACAAACTGGCTTCTATCTTGTTTTTATGCATTGTTAAAATGAATTTGAGTGTATTCATAGATAGAAAAAAATGTGCCTCAGGCATTCCATTTATGTCTAAAAGAATTAAATTAAACAAAAGAAAATGTTATGTTCTACAAGATGATGATTTCAAAGCAAAAACATTGACAAAAAATATAAACGCGTAAAAAAAATGAAGAAACCGATTGCCATTGACACGATAACAAGGTTATACGGCTGACATCATCATTTATCTGTCATATATCTATGAAATAACATCAGTTGTTGTTCACTGAGAATGAACGTGTCTAAAACTGATACATATATATATAGAGAGAGAATTGAGCAAGGACATATACATATGCATGATGTTTGCATCTATCTATTTTTTATCTGGTCAGTAATATAAGAATCAGCAATGACAAGCAAGAATAGAAACATGTGCATGCCTGTAAATGTAGATTAAATAGACAAGTAGCATGCTTCTCACTGCACTTTGTTGCTTTCTTTCTCACTCTCTCTTTTTTTCCTGAGGGATCTTCCGTTTTTTTTCATCCATTCACTCTCTCTCTCTCTCTCTCTCTCTCTGTGTTTTCAAAAGAAGAGAGCATCAAAAAAAAAGATGCCCTCAGGTTTTATTAATTTCTCTATGTTTAGCATGTTCATGGTTTACTATATTAAGACAAAAGAAAACGATTGAAACTGACAAGAAATTTTTGCCTTCATGAAAAAAGAAAAACGAGAAAGAGATCGTTCGTTTGTAATATCCGGTTCTTATTGAGTAAGCACTACTAACTCAAGAAAAGAACGAGGTGAGTATGATGTTGGTTTTAAAACTCTTTGTCATTTCCTTTTTTTCTCTTTCTGTCATCATTATTACATATATATATATATATATTTTCATCTAACAATCTTTTCTTTCTCAATATTTATAATGACATTTTCACCCTAGCTGTGTTTATGAAATCAAATACTCTCGCACTCGATCATTATCTTGTTTGATTTGTGTCTTTTTCTGCCAGTAAGTTTTAAATTTTCCAGCAAGAATATGAGAAATGTTGAAGAAAAACTTATATATATTTAATTTAAATAAGATACTGCTACGAATCTAGATGAAATACTATCTGTATTTATAATTCTCTAAATTATAAAATTTATTTAGAGAAAATTCCATTTAAGAATGACTTGTTTTTTGTCGATAATGTTAATCATCAAGGAATTTTTAGATACATGATGAGAAAATGCGTTTGTCGTAAATTATATATATGCTTCTAACAATTCTCAGAACATAAGATAGTAATCATTGATTTAGAAATTATACAGGCTAACTAAGAAAATAGGTTGTCAATTTTACAAATAGCAGACATGTGGAAAATGATTTCTTTTTTCCTTTCTGAATAAAATATTCTCATGTAAAAGAATATTTTCACCTTTTTCGGTTTGGGAACTTTTCAGTAATAGATAGCTGTTCTGTTAAGTATATTGAATTTCAAATATCTCAAGGGATATTTCTTTGAAAATAAATACTCATATATAAATAGCGTCTTATAGTTATTTTCGCATCATTTGATCAAATTTCATTAATTGAAAACAGGATGTTGTTTTTTTTTCCTTATGAATAAACTTGTTTCACCGAGGTTACGAATTATATGTCTGTCATCTAGTAATCTATTATGAAACTAATTTATTGCTTGAAAAATTCCGAAAATGAATTGCATGTAATAATTTAATCAAAGAAAAAGAGATGAAAGAAAGTCAGTATTGAGAAAATAACAATGTTTGCTGATTAATTTTCATTTTTTTTTTTTTTTTTTTGGTTTTTTAGAAATAACCATATACAAACGAGAAT